CTAGGTTCAGTGATATTAAATACTAGCAGTAGAGCCCGGCATTGCCCGGGGATGTAACAGTAAGAGATAGATCAAGTATCGACCATCATAAAGACTGAAAAATAAAATTGACAAAGATTATTGTTTAAGGTTGACGGACACGCATGTCTTAATTAGTTTTTTTTTTTTTTTGAATTGGTCAAACCCAAACTCAAAAAAAAACATTGTTTTCAAACGTTATGAGTCTAACGATTGAATAGAATTTTATTATAAACAATTGTCTTGTAAATGGAATTTTAAAGCATTCTGAATGTAAAAAAAAAAAAAGTGTGCAAGACAATAAGAAACACTACCTGCCAAAAAAAAAGTGAAGTTTTGTTGAAATTGATTTGAAAAATGTAGGAAATCTGATCCCATATATAAATGAATACACACACAACACACACAAACAACCTGGATTTTATAATAAGTATAACTATGAGTTGTCCCCCTTTCATTCTGGCAACAGAATTGTGTTTTATCGTGTTTTCAAATTGGTTTCGTGCAAAAACAATTGTATTTTTCCAATTTTTGGCACTGTCAGAACCACCGCACGGTAATTTTACGCAGTCCTGTGAAGTTTTGTTGAGATCAGTTGAAAAATGTAGGAAATCCGATCCAATATATAAACGTACAGACACACACACACACACACACACACACACACACACACACACACACACATACAATCTGCGTTTTATAAGTAAAATGAAGATCAATATTGAATAAACAGGAGTTACTAATTGTTACGATTGAGAACTTTCAAAACAAATCAATTTGTGAGGATTATTCCACCTTGTCTGACAGGACACCTTATAGCTGGCATTCTTTTCAAAGCTATAAAAAGAAGGGGCATAAATCTTTTTTTTCTCTTTTTTCCCTAGGATGTAGTAGTGACAACATAGCACTCTTCTCCTGTAAGGAGACACTTCCTGGTCAGGCCAACTGCTTAATTTCACACAACCATGAGGCACATCATATGCACACATATACACACATTACAGCTAAGTATATAAGTGTTTTCTTTCCCTTTCTTGAGCTGTATACATGTAAATATAATTTTTCTTTTTCTCTTCTTTTGTGAGCTATGTTGTTCTTTATATATCTAGGCCTTGGGTATGATGATAAACTACATCTGGCAGCAAGGCCTCTGACCAGGAAATTGAAGGCTTTGAGGAGCATGGAACCACTTCTTAATTGCTGTTGTCTCAAAGACTTGGGTGGGGGGTAGCACCCGTTACGGTCACAGCTACTGGCAAATAGTGAACCCCCAAACAAAAACAAAATACTATGAAAATATAAAAATAAATATTTATAGTAAAAATTACTAACAATACATTTGATCTGTAGTTGAAGGTATGCAATTGCATTCAACATATTTAGATTTTGGCATTAAATAACCCATAGAGGTGTTGATATGCCACTAAACAAAATCAACCAACCAAGCAAACAAATAACCAAACAACCAACATGAGCTCCTTCATGACATTAATCCATATAATATCCTACAATTTCTTAAATCAAACTGTATTCAAAAGTATAACTTCAACAAAACTACAACATAAAACACATATCACTTTCTCTCGTAATCATATCCACACAAACATATATATGCACAAAAGGTGAGTATCATCTACCATGTATTCAATTGTGAAAGCAGAATAACATACATCATATTTTTATTACTTCAAAGCTCCAAAGAAAATAAAATTTCATCATTAAATGACCCCTAAGGAGTTGATATGCCATTAAACAAACAAAACAAACAAAAAAAAATTCATTTCTTTTGAAAATGTTAAATTTGTTTATTTTGAAAGACAGAAATGTCATCTGTTACAAAGTAGCACATTACTGTTACAAATTAAATTCAGCACATATGCAATTATACAGCATCCTAGAGCATCATAAAATAGCTAAAAAATAGCTCCTCCTAGGTTTTAAGATCTTTTTGATGACAATATTATCCAAGAACAGTTAAAAACAAATGATTACCCTAGTGGGGTTTGTTATATTAGTCCTCCCCTATGGCCATGAATGCTGAACAATCACCTCACAGGTAAAAAAAAGAGACTTGAAGCAACTTGAAGTGGTTCTACAGAAGGATGCTGAGAATACCATGGACTATCAGTCTATCTGGCAGCAAGATCTCTGATTGGAAGATTGTAGGTTTTGAGGAGCATGGAACTACCTCTTAATTGCTATTGTTCCCATGGCCACCATGACCTGGGGTTGTAACACCTTTTAGGGTCTCTTCAATGGGAAAATAGCAAACCCCCAAACAAAAACAAAACACTATGAAAGTATAAAAATACATCTTTAGAGTAAAATTACTGCCAGTACATTTTTATACAAAAAATTACCAACAATACATATTTATAGTAGAATTACTAACAATACACTTTATATGTAGTTGAAGACTTACAATTATTTTCAAAATATTTTTAGTTGAAGCCATAAAAGAGTGTTCAAAGCATTTAGATTTTGGCATTAAATAACCCATATAGGTTGATATGCTGCTAAACAAAATAAAAAAACAAAACAAACCATGAACTACAGCATCAGGATGAGAGAGTAAAAAGAGGAAAAGAAAGTTTATGTCATTTCTTTTTATACATTTTATTAAGTGTTACAAAGGACAGGAAATCGTGGAGAGCCATGATCGCCTACGTCCTGAAGAGGTATGGCCCATGAAGAAAGAAGTGTGTCTTGTTATTGTAGTATAAAAATTAAACAATATTAATATTAATTCTTTTAGAACTGGAACCTATACATAAAATCAATTTAGTGGATATTAAGTGAAGTCCCCAGGCTGACAGTAAAATATATTTAAGATTTCTGAAATTTTGCTATTAATTAATTTGTTGATAAGTGAAATTTGAATCTTAATTCTGACAGGACAAAAATGCATTATTTACAAACAATTTTCTTAAATCCCTTATTTCATTGAAAATAGAACCTATCAATTGTTCAATTGGAACTGTATAGTGAATATATAATATTGTTTCAAATACATTAATAAAACTATTATGAATTTTTGTCCTCATATAAACCTTTTTTTTAAGAAATGACTGCTTCCAGAGATCAAAATTCATGGTCTTGATTAAATGTTCAGCTTAAACTGAATCCATTGAAATGCTTCAACAACCAAATCTGATCTGGCCATTGACTACCCTATCTTAGATTACCTTTGTAAAATACGAAAAATTCAGCATGAGTACTAAAAAAATGGAGAAAGAGGCAGGCTGCTCATCATCCTATTATCTAACTTAATTAGTCACAATCAGTGACTAATTCATTTGATAAATTTCCTTTCATCAAAAAGCACATTCAGACTAGTCATTCCTACAATAGACACCATAATACTAAAATTTCATTATAAGGTACTTGTAGGGATTACCCCACCTTTTAGGTGTCATTGTATTCTGGACTATATAAATAAGAGATATAAATCCTCTTCCTCGTTTTTTTGCTCTGTAGAATTAGTAACATTTTACTCTTCCTCTCTGCTGAGACACTGGGGAACATGTGAGCAACAACAAAATTTTAAATAAAATGGAACAAAAAGGACACTTCTGCTTAATATCAGGAAGAGAGTTGAAATTTCTAGGGCATATAATAAGGAAAGAGGGCTTTGAAAAATTGAGACACACAGGAGAGATTAAAATCAAGATGGACAGATGAAAACAATGTATAACCTACCTAGTAAACTTGAGTAAATGGATGGCAGAGCAAAATTTAGGGGAGATAACAAAAAGATAATTTTATTAAGTGTTACAAAGGACAGGAAATTGTGGAGAGCCATGATCGCCTATGTCCTGAAGAGGTATGGCCCATGAAGAAAGAAGTGTGTCTTGTTATTGTAGTATAAAAATTAAACAATATTAATATTAATTCTTTTAGAACCGGAACCTATACATAAAATCAAGCACACGTTTTTTGATCTACGAGTCATTATTTTATGCGGTTAATAACGCAACAATAACATGAAAATATTTAAAATTATTAGTTATTGCACTGAAGATTTAAATGTAGTTATTTCCCCTGTATATTATTACAAGTTATTTCCCCTTTATTTAGTTACTTCCCTTTTTCCACACCGTTTGGTTATTTTATTTTTATAACATAATATAATATAATATAATATAATATAACTTTTATTAAAAAAATATGAAAAATATTATTGAGGATGCATCAGCTTGTAAAACTTTGAAAGTTTGGTTGTATTAACCTTATTTAAAACAAAACCATTGAAAAATAAGTACCTCCAAAAACCCAAATCCAAAGATTTTCTAAAAGATAGCATATAGCATGAAAAAAACAAAAACAAAACAAAACAAAACAAAAAAAAAAAACAACGAAAAAACATCGACAAAATGTTAATGCTATTATTAATAGGAAAGACCAGAATATTTTAAAATTATTTTATTACATTTTTAATCCTTTCTAGCACGTTCGAAATTTTTGTTAAAAATCTTGTTCTTCTTGCGTCAGTGGTAAGCCAAAAAGATTACTATGTGAAATTTAGCGTCTTTTTTGCGGTAAAAAAACATTGTTTTAGAAGTTCTTGCAAATAATTGCCAGATTTTAATGAAATTTTCAGGAATTAAATTATTTTTTAAATATTTATTTTTAGAAAATCTTGGTAAAATATATATTTTTTACATCTGTTACCCACAATTAGTTGAATTTATGAAATTTCAAGAAATTAAAATTTCAGGGTCTTATTTATTTAAAATATTAATAGTAACAAAGTTTCGTCGAATAAAAAAGACAAATGTACTTTAGTAGTTGCTATTTTAGGGAAGAAAGCTCGATTTAATTACAGAAATTATGCAGTGGATTTTAAAAATATCAGTAACAAATAAATTTGTATTCATAATTAATTACCTTGATTGTCTATGAAACTACGTCGTTTTTTTCTCCACCAAAAATTTGTGACAATAAAGTGATCCCGAAAAATATCCTTGTAATCCCGAACTGATATGTTCGCGTAATCGGCGCTCCGAAATTTCATATTTACTCCGTTCCCATTCGCATAAATAACCTTGGGAAAAGTATGAATCCAACTTTCCTTCCTCCAGCTATGGGTTAAATAGAAAGATAGCTTTGGTTGGCAATCAATCTAGTAGGGCAACTCTTAATTCAAAACCGGTTGGGTGTGGTGCTGGCAACTTCACCCCATAAAATCTACATGGTACAGAAACCACAGTAGAAATATTTTGTGTGTTGAGGCTGTCGCTCCACAGAAGCATGTCACTCTGAAAGAGGAGGAATCTAGAACTGACAGGATAAACAACAAAAGAAAGTAATTTAGTAGGTAAATATGTCACTGTGTATTAAATCATGAATAACCAAACAGTGTATCTAAAGGACTTTATTGCTTAAAAAGAACGCTATGGGAGATTTAACAAAATCCAGATGCGCTGTAAATGAAATGACAAACCCAAGTGTCTTTATTAAAAATTTATTCGTATAATAGTGATCATCAACGGATCATGTTACGACACGTCATGCGTCCTATAAACCATTAGGGTTGTTGGGGCATTACATATATGGTGGTGTCTCTAGATCAAGGTAACCTGACGGATCTCATCCCTCTTCAGACTTATCAAGAGGCACATGTTCGAAAGTTTACTTTACTCTACTTTGCTGTTATTAAAGACGGACATACTTAACGCCAGGAAGAGACAGTTGAAGTTTCTAGGGGACATCATGATGAAAGAGAGCTTAGAAAATCTGATACTCACAGGACAGATTGAAGACAAGAGAGACAGAGGGAGACAACGCATAACATACTTAGTGAGTTTGAGTAAATGGATGACGGAACAGGGTTTAGGAGAAATAACAGAAAGGAAAAATTTATCAAAAACTACAAGTGACAGGAAGTTGTGGGGAGCCATGATCGTTTACGTCGTGAGGGGTACACGGCACATAAATAAGAAGACATTTATATAGATTTCCCCCGCTATATGAAATGGTGTAAAGCGAAGAAGAGATTACTATTAACTTATATAGGAGACATTTTTGAACGTTCTCCCCCATCCCAATAACCTTTTTTTTCTGTGTAAGCCAGAATTTTTTATATCATACAGTTTTTTTGTAGACAAAAGAAAATATTTTACTTTTCGCTTTACGAAATGTTTAATAGGAACGCTCGTCTTGCAGTAACACTAGAGTAATGATTTTGATCTTCCCCCGGTGTCTCATATTTGTGGCCTTGTGTCAGGCTAAGCTAAGCTTAACAAATATCTGTAAGCCACATGGTAAGCCATATGACCTCCCTAGTATGTTTAAAAAATTCTTTTAACGTGTTTGTTATATCAAATTAGTTTTAAAAAAATATTTTACCATAGACGGAACATGTGAACAATAAGGAAGTTTTAAAGAAAACTGGAACAAAATAGAACCTTGTGATCTAATAGATAAGTGAGTGAAGGTAGTTAAAAAATAATAGCGGTGTCAAAAGAAAAAATTGTCCTTTTGACACACTGTTTTTTTTCGGGCACAGAGGTGCACGTCTGCCGGAAATTTGTACTTGGAATCAAAAAGTGACTTCCTCGGCGTGCATAACGAGGAAAAAGGGCTTGGAGAATTTGAAACTCGCAGGATATACTGAAGGCAATAGAAAAATATTGAGTAACCTGCTTCTCGAGCTTGTGGCAGGACAGGGACTGGGTGGGATAGTAAGGGGATATACATTAATTAGAGGTTTTTAATTTTCAATGTTCATTATACAACGCCTAAGAGACACTCATGATAGAGGGTTACTGAATGAGGTGTGAGCGGTGAGAGTTAGGGGGAAGAGGCGCAGTTTATGGGGACACGTGGGAAATATAACGATTAACTCTAGACTTGAAGTGGTTAAGATTATAGGAAAGCATCCTCTTGGGAGTCAGGTACCCAAAATAGCAGTTCGTGAGAAGAGACCTTTTGAGTGGAACTTAGTTCTTACTAATGGAATACCGAGTGAATGAGGGTACTTCGCCTTAATGTGCGGGTCTTAGCAGTGAGGGTTAGATTTGATGGAACTAAGGAGTGTAGCTGGTCTGAACATTTTTCATAGAAATAGCGATAGTGTAGCGAGAGACTTGCTAAGAATAGGAAGTTGCGGAGAGCTATGATTGTCCAAATCTTGAAGGGCCATGGCACATGAATGAAGAAGAAGAGTTTTGTTATTGCTAAACTGCAGGAAACAAAGATATCTGAATTTTTAATAAAGGGTAGTTGATATATTTATTTTCGCTTTAACTATATCAGTCAGTTAAGTGCCATACGTGATACCCGCTTGAGAGATCATGTCTCTTTTTGATTCATGATCGACAAGATTTTCCTGCAGCAAGTTGCCATTTCTTTCTGCGGTAGACTGGTTGCAAACTAAGGCTATAGGTCTCAGTCTGTGCCATAGCTAGGGGTAGAAGAAATGGATTCATACCTCTCCCAAGGGTATTTGTGTGTAAGTGATTGTAACAAATCCGTCTGAAATTCGAACACGATATTCATTACACCACAACGCACCCCCCTTTACACAAAATATACATACAAATATAGAAAACTTTAAAAAAATTCCCTTTTTTCTTAATTTAACTCGAGGCGGAGTAATGGTTAGCAAGCTTGGCTCGCTAGAACAATTACAACTGAGTAGTGAGTTCGTTCCTCACTGGGTGCCCCTTACTTTCGGCCTAGTGCCACATCTAAGCTACGCTTGGACAATCAATTAGGGCACCTCGATGTGGCGTAATGGTTAGCAAGCTTGTCTTGCTAGAACAATTACGGCTGAGTAGTGAGTTCGATCCTCACTGAGTTCCCCCTACTTTCGGCCTTGTGCCACGTCTGAGCTACACTTGGAAAACCATTGGGCATCTCGAGCGGTGTAATGGTTAGAACAATTCCGACAGAGTAGTGAGTTCGATCCTCACTGGGTGCCTCATAATTTTGGCCTTGTGCCACATCTAAGCTACACTTGGAAAATCACTTTACTATTTAAGTTTAACTATATACAGAATTTAAAAAAATTGTTAACTTTTTTATTAGAAGAATAAAGCAAAAAATAAAATAAATGTTAATTTCCTAAAGTTAATATTTTATAGCAGTATGATATTCCTTGAATTATCCCATGAACAATTGAGTTGTGCGTTCTTTGTAGCAGGTTGTCACCATTTTCCATCTTTTTTCTAATCAAGAAGTGTGTATGTCGTCATAACATCGTGTTTGGATTGTTCTTTCAGCTTTATTTTCAAGCAAATACTTAATAAGAAATAGCATAATCTCGTGAATCATAGTAAATAATCATCCCATGAATCCTAATAAATAACCACCTCATGAATCCTAGTAAATAATCGCCTCATGATTCATAGTAAATAATCACCTCATGAATTTTAGAGTTGGTAATACTGCCTGAATGAATGATGCCAGTATCGTTGGAAAAAAGTTTGAATCCTCAATTGATGATATCCACTGATTTCCAATGAACCATCAACTGACGATGCCCACCATTTAGGAGCGCCAGCATCTATCTATCTATCTATCTATCTATCTATCCTAGTCTGTTCTTTCTTTCTTTCTTTCTTTCTTTCTTTCTTTCTTTCTTTCTTTCTTTTATCTATCTATCTATCTATCTATCTATCTATCTATCTATCTATCTATCTATCTATCTATCTATGTTTCTTAGCCTGATTATGACGACGCTGTGTCTGGTTCAGGGTAATAAAAAGGAATGCTATGGAAAAATGAGTGAGAAGAGGTTTTCTTTTCAAGATAATTTTCAACCAATCAGAAGAACGGATTTTGAAACCTGCAACAAAGTTTTGAAGCTTGCTTAAATATAAGGGAAGCGGCCATCCCTGTTTAATTTAGTATTCATTCATGACACGAATCGGAGTGGATAGTTAGAAAGATGTAAATGATCACGACAAGTTACCTTTAGCAGTGAGTTGAGAAGGAGACGCCGGACTCCAAGGTAACACATGGTCAACCAATAATTCTGCGCATGTCATAAAATCTTAAAACAAATAACTTTGAACTTGTTCATCTGAAGCTACCCGCAGACAGACCAAGTTTTCCTTGATGGTACAAGATAACTTGTTCACTGCAACTCTAATTCAGTAAGGCTTTTTACCAAATGCTACAAGTTTACAACAAATGGCATTTACTCAGTGACTCATTGAACAACAGACGCTTCCACTTCTACGTTGACCTATCAATCCCAAACAGGTCAGTACCTAAACAACACCTCATGAACTTCGCTGTCGCCTACCGCCAAGGACGTTTTTATTTTATTTTTATTTTTTTACATTAGTAACTAATTTAAGCCCCTACTTTCCTGTGAAGATTTTTCTCTATCTTGTTTAATTTTTGTTAGGCACCCCAAAAGAAATATTTCAATTTCTAAACCCTTCTTTTCACATGAATTATTTTAAATAAACTAATTCTTTTTGTTTCGTTTCATATTGAGTAAGAGTTCTATCTTATTATGCGCCTGATTAGAATCTATAGAAGTAACTTTTCGATTATTAAGTCTTCGTATTGGGTAAGTACATGAAGGTTGTAGTTAATGGCCAGTCTTTTGAAGCCCATGAGACCAATACTGGTGTTTCCAAACGTTATCTCCTGTATTCTACGCTCTTTGGGCTTTATATTAACGATCTGCCTAAGAATATTCTCAGATCTTTAGTAAATATATATGCAGATAACACTGTATATGAGTGTATATCCAAAAATCTAGTTAGATCAGACTAAAATTGGATCATTGGTGCTATATATAGGTTGGTGCTGTCCACATCCCACTGTCCATTCTTGACAGAGTTTAAAAGCGATTATACGGCCTTGTGGGTGATTAATTCTTTTCCAACCTGCACCCCATTTCCCATAGACGGAATGTTGCTGGCCTCTCGCTATTCTATCGCTATTTTCATGGCAAATATTCAGACTGGCTACATTTATTAGTTCCACCAGTTCAGACATTCACAGCTAGGATCCGCTGTGCCACGTACACGGTGTCAACTCATCCTCATTTACTTCATATTCCATTGGCAAGGAGGAAGTTCCACCCAGAGAACTTCTTCTCTAGAACTGTCACTAGAGGATCTTCCCTTGACCACTGAAATCTTAAACAGATCAAATCTCGAGTCAATCGTTACCTGTCTTACATATCCTCATAATATACGCTTCTTATCTTCTCTCTTAACGCTCTTACAGCAACTCCATTCAGTAACTCTGCCTTGTGTGGCTCTTGAGCTTTGTAATGGTTGAAAAATAGTATAACAATTGGTAAAGGAAACACGGCTTAGCAGCTCACTAATAATAATATTGAGGAATGGTTTTATTGTCATTAAAATAAATTTTGAACACAAATCTGACGTAGACGTGTACTTCAACCAGTATTTATTCATTGTTCACATGTCCTTTATTTATCATGCTTGACTTGATTCTGATGGAAACAACCCTTACCACAGATGCTACAACACAAAATCTTTTTTTTTTTTAAATATAAGTAAATACCTCCCCCTCCATGTCGAGCTTCTTTGTTATTTACCTGTTTGTATGCCTGTCTGTTCGCGTTTGGTTTTATTTTACAATTTTCTTCATTTTTGTCTTTTTTTTTACAACGAGGTTCACCTTTTACAAGGGCTTTCACCCGAGGCAGAGGGTTACGTTTGGAGGTGATTTGTGTGTTGTGTATATTGGAATGGAAGATACCAGTTAAACCTAGCTTTGAAAAGGTTATGATTGTAGTGATCGGGGAAACATCCTGTTGGTTGTTTCATAGGGAAGTGGTTCTCGGGAAGAAGGTGCTCAAGTGGAAATTACTTCTCACCCATGGAATATGGAAGGAATGTGGGTGGCTTGCTACTATGTAAATGGCATGGCGTGTTCTTGCTGTGAAGGTTTGCCTTGGCGGGACCAGCGAATTAAGTTCCTCCGAGCATTTTCCATGGAAGTAGTGGCAAAGCAGCAAGTGGCTTGCCACATCCTATTTGTGGGAGTAAAGTTGGAGAGTGGAGAATAAGTCGTCACCCACAAGGACTCGGAGACGCTTTTGAACTCTATCAAGGCTGGAGAGTGAAGTCTAGGAAGCTCCCGCCCAAATATGAAAACAGTAATCCATTTTTGGCCTGGTCTGGCTCCCGTAAAGGTAGAGGATAGCAGGAGGAGTCAGATACTTACTGGAGCGGTACAGTTTTATCTGCATCCTTAGCAATGGATCGTATGTACAAATTTTCGCGAAATTCTGTCTCTTGTCCAAAACTACGCAACATGAAACGGTTCACGAGTTACTGAAAAAAAAAGTTGTTTCTCCATGCGACATTTCCCAGCTTAATAACAACACTCACTCACTCACTATCATATCTATCCCAGTCCGTTTTGAATTATCTATCTATCTATCTATCTATCTATCTATCTATCTATCTATCTATCTATCTATCTATCTATGTTTTATATTTAGTTATATTCGTAATTTTGCACCTCTCTATTTCATTCTACTCATATTTTGCGTGACAATTTTCTTTCTTTTTATCTATAACTGGTGTTATTGTCGTACCATCATTTCGGAACATATTTGTGACGACAAAATTATTAGTACATTATATAAATAAACAAGATAATTGTTTCTTTTAAAATCTGTTCAGTGTTTGAAATAGTAGTCAGAATTTCAATCCCGTGAAGGTTTTCGGCCTTCGAGTCTCGATATGGGTTAGGAGTTGACGCAGAGATTTTAAGATTTCGGAACAGGAAGATTTTACTTGATTAATAATAACTAAGTACTTACATCTATCTATCTATCCTTGTTTCTAAACCTTTTTTTCCCTTGTAACTTATTGTGTCGATCGTCTACCTACAATTTCGTTGGTCATTGTAGTTTTTATTTATTTATTTTTTTTTATCTCTGTCTCTTCTATTGAATCTATTTATATTTGTGTTAATCTTATTATAAACGGATGTAATCTGGCTTCTAAATTTAATTACTTACAATGCTACTTGTATATAAAAGACTCCAATCTCTTTTCATATTTCTGTATTATCGCTTTATATTTGTTTATTTCGTTAGCTCCCACTTATCCTGTCTTTCGCTAGGATGTTATATGTTTCATAACGATCGATTACATTTCTGATGTTTATTGTCAATGTAAAGAAACAAAAACAAAAACAAAACGCACGCAGTGTCTAGATAAGCCTCCGCCGGTCATTAATGACCATGGATTTGATCCTACCCATCTGTAAGGTAAGGATCGTCCTGGACAGGGTGGTATGGAGAACAAGATTTTACAGCATGTATCACGTCGCTGATGGGTCCAAAGGAAGCGCAAGGCCATTACACTTTGGCACCAGCGCCGTCACAGGAACTGCCAGAACAAGGCTGAAATCAGCGCCGAACTGCCTTAGGGGCTCCAACTCCGAATTTTTAGCTACATACAGTTTTGAATTCAGTTACTTTCTCCTAGACCGGTTGCCAACCCATTTTGGCACGGAAGTGGATGTAATGCATCCAACTGGAATTCGAACTCGGCTCTCCGATTCCTCAATCCTAGCAGCTATCCATTACTCCACCGCAGTGTATGCACCAGCTTTGATAAAGGACCTGCGGCTAAAAAACAAAACAAAAATAAAAAACACACACATATGGTAGGACGTTTCCATGTCACACTTACTATGGGAGGACAGATAGATATAAGCAGATTGAGATAGACACATAGATATTACCAGACTTAGATAGATAGATAGATAGATAGATAGATAGATAGATAGATAGATAGATATGAACAGACAGAGAGTGATCAATCAATAGATAGATATTAGGAGACAGATATAGAGAGGTGTATACAGAGATAGATAATGAGCTGACATAGAGATAAATAGATAGATAGATATGGACATATATATATATATATATATATATATATATATATATATATATATATATATATATAAAAGTGAACATAGAAGTCAACACTTAGAGGCGACAGTCTGTTTCATGCTATATGCAATCGTCAGACCACGTGTGCTGTTATTTTTCTCGGCTATTTATACATATACGGGTCAGTGGTGCATTGTGGGTAGTCTATTATGGCGGTTATTTTACCAAAACAAAACTATTAAATAAGTGATATAAACAAACTTTTACTACGTTAATAAAAACACCGATTAAAAGAAACAAAAAATAAAAATAAATAAAAACAAGCAAAATAATTTAACCCAAATAAATAAATAAATAAACGACTTCCGGTAAAATAACCGCCATAATAGACTACCCAGGCTGGTCTGTGAGTTCACAGCTCAACTCTGTCTGCTCTGTCACTCTGTCTGCGTCTGCCCAACTGCCACTGTCTCTGCCCTGTGGACGTTTGTTTATATGGACGCCGACCAAAACCGGGGGGGGGGCTGTCGTGGTTTGGGTTCTTCGATAATTTCAAATCCGCAATAAGAATTTTCTTTGTTTTCGTAAAGGAAAATTTATCACTTTCCATTTTTGGAAGTCCATTACTTTCTGTTTTAGAGGGGTTCTTAAGGGAATTGTCCTCCCAAATTCTTCCTTTCTCATATTGGTATCTGACATCAATCCCCTCAGAGGGCGTCAACAGGTTTCCCTGCTTTCTCATAGTGGTATCTCACACCAATCCCCTCAGAGGCGTCAACAGGTTTCCTTTCTTTCTCATATGTTTACCTTCGCCCATTGCCCACGCCACCATTCAGCCAATGAACGCTTGGCAGTGTAGGTGTGGCTAGACTGGCCTCAGTTTACAATTATCGCTCAAAAAAAAATTATTTTCTTTTCTTTCTTTTCCCTGACTAGAACCCCCCACGACTCGTAGTGTGGTCATTAAGTCTCTATCTTAACTGAATGTCATCTGGAATTCATCAACGAGATTTTCGTCAAGTAATCGTCAGGGTGGTCAAGTGAATCTCTTTGTATCCTCAACGCCTTCGTAGTTCTGTCGCCAACAATCTGTCCAGGTAACAAACTTTTATCATGGCAAGGTCTGGACATAAAACAGGTGGTCCCTTTCCAAAACCAAATGATATCGCCGAAAGATAGTTAGTGGTTTATTCTTTTCCTTTTTCTCTTCCTCCTCCCTTTTTCTTTGGGGTGGTCTCAGCTGATCCCTTTTTCCCTAATTCTGATTATCTTCTAGCATTTCGCTTTGTAAGCCACTTGACCAATTTGAAATTTTCATTATTGCCATCGGCAGATTGCTATCTTTTATTCGCCGCGTCATAGCATAAATGAATTCTGACAGATCCGAGATCTTACAAATTTCCTATCTTCTGCGAAAAAAATACTTTTCTGCGCAAATGAAAATAAAATCTTTACCACTTTTCTTTTGTTAAAAAAATAACATCGCTCAGTATGTCTTTCGTGATAGCTTCTTCTCGCTTTAAGTGTTTCTCGCTTTTAATTTCCACGCCTAATTAGTTAGCCAAACGCTAAATAGTGTCACACGGTTGTACTAGTTGTAATTCATAAGTCATCGTGACCGAGGGTTTCAAAATACTGGTCTTGTTCCGCTACATATTACAACAGATTATGAGCTCTCTCCTAGAAACTGTAACTGAAGTCCACTCAGCAGTGTTGCAGTATAAACCACAGATGAGCTCTGTTGAAAAAAACTGTAGGGAGATATGCAAAATAGACTTACCCTATTTTGAATAAAGTCAAACGACTACAAATAAGTAAGGCGACACAATTACTACTACGCCATGAGTTATTCCACTGTAGATTACCTTTCTCATTGTGCGTTTTGATTTGTATCCATCTGAATTTCGTTTTTAAGTTTGATCTCTTGTGAACAGTTTTTGGCGAGTTTGGCACCGTTTTGTTTTTATTTGGACCTTTTTGTTAATTGTACCGTGCTGTGTGCTTGGCCGGAATGGAAGTATTTGTAGCAACCGCTTCTAGGGCCGACGGTATAGTTAAGAACTCATTACCAGAGATATAGTCCCGGTAACGCTCCTCTCAGTGGGCGGATCAATAGGACCAACCTACTCCACCAATGCAGGCCTAAAATGATTTTGCCTGCATGCAGGAGCGTTACCGGGACTATATCTCTGGTAATGAGCCCCTAACTATACCGTCGGCCCTGAAGCGGTTGCTACAAATACTATTTCCCTGATAAACACAGATGTTAAGACCAGAAAGTTGATCGGTGTTAGCAAGGTGACGATGGCGGATGCCCTAAATAGCCTGAACATTGGAGCTCGCGAAGTGAAGCAATGCCATATGGAATATCATGCTGGCAACAGAAGAAGCAGACGAAGTTGCCGGGAAGCCGGCTCACATCCAAGTCCGTGAGGTTGCAAACGGAATACAAGGGCACAATAAAGACCAGGATTACGCTGCAAGAAGTGCCCATGGACATTTTCAAGGATCATTTGGAGGTTTTTTCTCACAATATTTAACCGTCTGTGAAGTCTCACCTCTTATAAGTAAAGCAAGCATTGTCACTAGAAACTTTGTGCTCCAGGTGACAGTGACCCTCAAGAGCTTTATAGACATCCCCGACACGCTGATATGCCGGTGTCGGAATATCTTTATCACAGTCAAAAGACGGAGACCTCAGTGAAGGATTTGTGGCGCCACAGGACATTTGTCCAAGCGTGTCCCGAACGGAATCCGGTGCCACAGTCAAAACCATCATCTACGAAGGAAGCAGTGTTGTCGGAGAAGACTGATAAAGTCTCCCGATGGTCACAGATAGAAGGAGATGCTTAAGAAGGAGACAAAGCTGTGTCTCCTCTTTCTGCACTCAGCAGAATATCTTAAACAGGGAGGAGCATCAGCAACCACAAAAAAAAAAAAAAACAACAAAAAAAAACAAACAAACAAAAACAGCAGCAGCCGCTGCATCCGCAGCCACAATAGTAGCCTCCTTGAAAGCAGCAGCAGTCATAGTATCATTATCAGGAGTTGCAAATAAACAGTAGAAGCAAATGGAGGTGGAGTATATGCCTCCACCTAGATCTTCGTCGCTGAAGAATTGGAAGAGAGGACGAAACCGTCGTGGAACATACAAAAAAAGAAGACTGGGCGAATCAGAGCGGAAAAAACCGTGGAAAAAGTAGTCACACTTGATGCCATCGTTTAAATGCACTTTTGCTGACTTGTCGTCAACAGGGGACTCTGGGAACTTTCCTAAAGCTTCTGTGATGATTATCCTCATAAGAAACACCTGCAGCAGAGTAAAATTCTGTGATCTAATCGGGCGCATAATCTCTCTACCTCTCTCTTTCCACCTCTCTCTCTTCCTCTCTCTCTCTCTTTCCATCTCTCTGTGATTGCGTGATTTCAGCCTTCATTAAACAAACAATATTAAAAAAATATTAAATATTAAATATTAATATTAAAACAAAAATATTTTTTACCATATTTAAAAAAAAACATTTTCAAGTGAATATGATTTTAAAATATTTCTTCGTATTATTATTATTTCGTATTGATCAGAAAAGCAAAGAAAATGAACCTATGTAAATCAATCAGACAATGATTTCAGATTTATAAAAAAATACTTATCAACAAAGAACAATATAGAAAAAAACTAATTACTAATGAGACAAAGAAACACTAATTTTGATAATATTCGAAAGTTTTTTTTCACGATTT